CCAACACCCCAAACCCCTCAGGATCAGGTCCCTCCCAATTCCCCAAACCCCTCAGGACCAGATCCCCAAACCCCAAAACCCCTGGGATCAGATCCCTCCCAATGCCCTAAAACCCTCAGGATCAGACCCTCAAACCCCTCAGGATCAGATCCCTCCTAACTCCCCAAAACGCTCAGGACCAGATCCCCAAACCCCAAAACCCCTGGGATCAGATCCTTCCCAACACCCCCAAACCCTTGGGGGACCAGACCCCCAAACCCTCGGGGGCCCAGACCCCGAAACCCCTCGGGATCAGGTCTCTCCCAACTCCCCAAAACCCTCGGGACCAGATCCCCAAACCCCAAAACCCCTGGGATCAGATCCCTCCCAACATCCCAAAACCCTCGGTACCAGATCCCCAAACCCTAAAATCCCTGGGATCAGATCCTTCCCAACACCCTAAAACCCTCGGGGGCCCAGACCCCCAAACCCCTCGGGATCAGGTCCCTCCCAACATCCCAAAACCCTCAGAATCAGATCCCTCCCAACACCCCAAACCCCTCAGAATCAGGTCCCTCCCAACACCCCAAACCCCTCAGAATCAGGTCCCTCCCAACTCCCCAAAACCCTCGGTACCAGATCCCCAAACCCTAAAATCCCTGGGATCAGATCCCTCCCATCACCCCAAACCCCTCAGGACCAGATCCCCAAACCCCAAAACCCCTGGGATCAGACCCTTCCCAACACCCCCAAACCCTCGGGGGCCCAGACCCCCAAACCCCCAACCCCTCGTCATCTGCCACCCACCATCACTGGGGACTCCCTGGAGCTCGATGTTGGTGGTTTTGGGTTTCTTCTTGGGGTTCTGGGCGCCGTCGGGGGCGCCGGGGCGCTTCCTGTCGGGGCCGAGCGCGTCGTCGGGCAGCGCGCCGGGCGCGGCCTCGGGGGGCGGCCCGTAGGGGCTCTCCTCGGGGTCCTCCACCTCGGGCGCGATGGGCAGGTAGAGCAGCGCCCGCGCGTCCTCCAGCTCCTCGTCACTGCCGCCCAC